CTTTCTTCATGTGTTCAATACTTTTTCCCTGTGCCATTCCACATTATTACAAATAACTTCATTTCTGGACATTTATGGTTTGATTTCTTTGCATGGATGGATCACTTGGGTTGTTACCAACATCTGGTGAAAATTTCATGTCATTAGCACCTCTAGTAATTTATGTACTGAGAAAAATGGTGACATGTTCAATACTGATTTTACTCGCTGTATATATATAAAGCTTCTCATCCACTTTATTGCTTAAAGTTCAGTCATTATGGTAACAGCACAATCACATCCATAAGATATAAACAGCTAGCTCAAATTTAATCAATCCCATGATGCCTGCAGCTGCAAACCACTTWAACACATTACTGATGTGCTTGTTGGATCATTTCTTAACCTTGACCAGTTACTTCCTGCAGTTTCTGCTGGTTGCTTAGCAACCTTGCAGCCACCACAAGACTACAAGACAATATTCGCAGTCAAGCATCAGTCCAGTGCATACCGCCATTTATTATCACTTTTATTTTGCAAGGAAGCTACAAAGTCCTGCATCCCATCTGCCTTACCAAACCGTTTCCTGGTCCACCAGTGTGGCTCCTTTACTGTGTTGAACTTGACCTCTGGAAGCATCAGCAGCCTCTGGAACAAGTCTGTCGTGCCACACTTTGGTTGGCCGATGATGTAGAAGTACGGCAGGCAGCGCAGCCGGAACGGTTTGCCATCTCTGTGCCATACGTGCCGAGGGAAGCTGGCTCTCATGTGGTCGCAGACGCTCTTGAAGCTCTTGGAGCGCAGGCTGAAGCGGTTGCTCTTGTACGGGTCTGACATGAGTTCGCTCGAGATCTCCTCATACCAGCACGGGCTCTTGATATTGGGCAAGAAGTCGCGAGGAATCACCGAGAACAACTGCAGAACAAATTGAAATCAGGCAAAATGGCAAACAGCTCAAGTGACATCATACAGTATTTTAAAAACCTTGTTTTGCTGTTGCGCCGTGATGACCCTTACTGATTATCCTCAGTTTGTAAGTCAAACCATACATCATTTTAAAGCATAAAAAACATCAAAACATCATTCCTTTTTTATTTAGAGTCACATTAATGTATTTTGCAGCTTTGCTACATCGCTTATTTGGCCTCTGTTATTCAGCAGGAAACTCCCTGATGCATACCACTAACTGGTATTTAAAGTAATGGCTCACATGTGTTGCAACATGTGTCATTTCAGCCTTACTAAGTCATGTGTTGGCTCTCTTTCTAAAAGCGTTGCTTAAATGTAATGGGAACAACAGCAGAACTGTACGTGATAATAGTGGTTAGGAATGTTAGGCTTTTAGTAAAACTTAGTGAAAGGGCTATTTTAATCAAAACTGATCATTATGAGCTTTATCGAGTAGGTAAAGTGATCATTTATGGTGAAAACACTGGTGTTTTCTCAAGTCTGGATTCAGCGAATGCAGGTGAAAAATGACTCACATGAGGATCCGTGTCAATAATGTTCTTTTCATCGGGTATCTTCCTGGGCGTGCATTGTTGTTTGAAGCTGGTCATATTCATCCACACTTTCAGGTCTGTAAAGCTGTTTTCAATAGGAACTTGAGCTGTGGTCCTGACATCCATGGGTCTGAAGCGGTAAGGCAAGGCAGTGAGCGACAGCCCCTTTTTGTCCCACATCAGGATGTATGAAGCCATAACAAGGAACATCAGAGTCAAGCCCATTAGGAAGCTGACCACTTTGACTTTTGAGATGCTCCTCAAGTGGAATAAAGACGGAAAGCCCTTGGCGTTGGGAGTTTCAGGCGTGTCTGTGTGTGTGAAGTCCAAAAACGTCCTGACAAACGTTTTCCCATACTTTTCAGCCAGGGGCAAACTGTGGAGGCTGAGACTGTGCCCCCTTTGTGGACTGCAGTCCTTGAGAGACATGTTGACATTGAAGCAAGGCAGGCATGTAGAAAGAGATGCCAGGAAATGATTCTGTTAAAAAGGTCGGGCTTCCATGTATGCCGAGTTGATCTGAACTTCATTTGTCTTCGTGTTATACATGTTCCCCACCCATCAGCTGCACCTCCTGTAAAACAGAAACAGGTGTCAGCTAATGCCACATGGTTTTTTTTTCACCCAAAATGCAGCAGCAAAGCCTCCGTTGGAAGTGTTTCAAGCAACTCCCTAAATCCCACAGAGGGGAGCTGAACATTTTTAATACCAGGGTGTCTGAAAGAGCTCGACTCTTAGTCTGATGGATCAATATGGAGTTTTAAGTGATACGTTTTTTTTACAGCAGGACTCAGCCCTACAATGTCTGAGGTTACCTGAAGAGTGTGTGTGGTCTGCTATAAAAAAAAATCACAGCGCATGCAAAGARCAGCTCAATGGAAAGACCCACGAGGTCAGAATAATAGTTACTCTGTAATTCCAAACTAAAAACACACCATTATTCGCTGCTGATTCAAAACCCACCGAGAAACCCTATTTGCCCAACTGTTCAAGGATTTTCACAAAGCGATGTTTGATATTGATTCAGGTGAGCACCAGACAGACAATTTTGTTTCCTCTTTCTCACTTCATAAATAATACTTGACTAGATGGGATTTTTAATTGGGTTCCTGAATCACAAAATGTTATTAAATAAATATTTGTTGCTGTTGTTTTAAAAATCTGAATATGAAAATGAYTGATTATCTTTCCTTATAACAGAACTGTGCCTGTCAAATTACAATTATATAACCTTATTTGTCCACACTTATATCAAGAGGACAATAAAGGTTTATCTTATCTTAAAATAAAGGGTGATTCATAGTATTTATCTTCAAGAAAATATATAAATACAAAAAAAGAAAAAAATACCTATTGACTCCATGTAAATAAAAAAGTGTAAGTTGATAGATATCAGCTTTAGGACTTTTTTCAGTGCTTTCATGTGTACATGGCAATGTGTTTTTTGCTTACAATCCTCCCATTATGTTATGATTGGTGCCTGTAGTAATGTTTTATTCTAGTTTTCTGTCTTGTCATCCGTTTTCTACCTCCTGTCTACCTTTTTCTCCAGCCCCGCCCACTCTCACCTGCTCCTTATGTTTTTCTCCCAGGTGTTTCCTGTTTGTGCTCATTAGTCTCACCTTTAAATTCTGTGTTTTGTCTTCACTTCCCTGTCGGATCATTCTTCTGTATTGTCCTGCCCAACCTAGCCTTGTGAGTTTTTTGAGCTGCCTTTGTGCACGTTTTGTTTAAATAAATTTTGAYTTTTGGTTCTTTTGAAACTGCCTGCATCATGGGTTCATTCCTGCCTGAAAATCCTGACACATTATGTGAAAATATACTACAAGTTAAACTGTTGATGCAGATTTGATTTGATCCACAGCAATCCTTTCACACACTTGTACATTTCATAACAGACAGCACTGAGTCTTCACAGACTTGTAAGGAATGCACACTATTCAAAAGCTTGTGTGGACAGCTGCTGAGCTTCAAGAGGAACATATTTTTTGATTCCTCTAAAGATGCTAAGGCGCTTACTTGATGATATCTCAGTTGATAGAAGTGTCTTTTTTAAATTGCTTTTGACAGCAACTCACAAAAAGAAAGAGTTCGAGTATTATTGTAGTGTAGATTTAACTCATTTCCTATAAAATGTGATTTGTTTTCTGTATGTTTGTTTTCATATTGAAATATAAAGCTCTTTAGCCCGATTTTCTTTATGAAGTATATCTTTAATTTGAAACGCAAAGCAATTTTTTTCCTGTCTTTTCCTGATATCACTGTTAGTGATTAATGCCTGGTTTGGGTTGGAAAATTTCCAAGTGTAAAACAAAAAAAAAAGATTTTTAAATGTCACCAAGCATAAAGAAGGACGTGAGACTCAAAAGTAAAGCCCTGAGTGGAGAGGTGAAGCATAAAAGACGAAAATAAAAAGTCAAGGCTGAAACCAAACCCAGTCAAGTCTAAGCAACTGATCTGAAGCAGGAAGCATAAACAAGGAACTGACCGAGGTGAAAACCCACCATCAAAATCCTGAGTCCAAATAAAGCCCATCGCCTCTCTGCATAGTCTTTTCTTTATGCCCACAATGTGGAAATTGAACCTTTTTTAATTGCTCTATAGAACAACACGCACCAACAGTACATCTGAGGGTGGGGGTGGGAGTGTCGGGGTCTTTTTTCCCATCCCGTTCCCCGACTGCCATTTGGGGAGGGGGTCCTGAAGAAGGGCGGACCACCAGGTGCAGTCCTGGGCTGTGGGTGGGCTCGGGGCTTGGATGGTCGCCGGGGGCGGGGCTGGCTCTCCGTCCTCCCTGGTGCTGCTTGGTCTCCTGAGGTGTGGCTCTTGGTTMCTGTGGGTGGCCCGCTGGCCGGGGTGGCTGCTGGGTTTTGAGGGGTGGATGGCTGATGGGGTGCACTTGGTCGCTGGCGGTGTGGTGGGGTGGTCATGGGTGTGGCTTCTTTGCGGCGGGGGGCTGGCCGGGCGTCCTGGAGCAGCCCGGGTCGGGCCTTGGCTATCTGCTCCTCTCCACCTCAGAATGATTGGGTCTACCTCCTGGGTTTGGGTGTGTGCGGCCTCCATTAGGGGGTGGGTAACATGTCCTGGACCTGTGGGGTATAGAGTGTGTATTGGGGGTATGAGTKGAATGTGGCGTCCTTGTATGTCTTTGACTGAGTGGGGGTGAGGATGAGGGTGGGGTGGTGCAATTGTGTATGTTTGGGAATTTGTCAGGCTGCGGTCTGGGCTGCCCCTCCTGCTGGTTTATCTGGGGGCCCGCTGCTACTCGGCCCACTGGTGGGGTGTGCGGCTGGCCGCCGGCGTGCTGGGGGTTCCCGGGGTCTGGGGCTGGGCGCTGGGGTGTGTGCCAGCCTGGCCTGGTGACTGCCTGTTGGGGCTCGGGGCCTCTGGGCCTGTCGGGCTTTGGCCTGGAGGGGGTGCGCCCTGGGGGCCCGGACCTTTGTGCCCTTTCCTGGATCTGCTTTGGTATGGCGGGTGCCGGTGGGGCCCATGAGTTTGTCGCTGCTGGCCCCGGGGGCTGTACGTGTGGTCGCTGGGGGGACTCTCCCAGTTCTCCCCTATGGTCTGATCTGGGGGTGGGTGGGCGGATCTTCCTGTGCGGGTGTCCCTTGGGGCTCTGCGCTCGGGATTCCTCTCRGRCCCTTGGGCTCTGGTCTTCCCTCTGTCTGCCTCGTGTCTTGAGGGTTGGGTCTCGGTCCTCCACAGTCACTACTAAATATTCCATTGGAGAAATCTTATATATACACGCATGTTCACAACTGCTCACAAACAGGTGCTCTGATCCGGAGGGTTCTGACTGGTCACTGAGTGTGTATATATGTCTATGTGTATATACGGACAATATTTATGAATGTAGGCATGTATGTATGTATATCTTTATATATGTATGGGTATGTATATATTTTTATATATGCCCTCCCTGTATTTATCCATTTATTTTTCAGGTGAGCRGACAGATGTTGGGTGTGTGGTCCTGTGTTTTGTTGGTGTATATTTAATACAGTATATTTCTAATTGCTATTTCAATCTTTCTATCTTTCTAATTAGTTCTCTCTCTGTTTTTCTCTCTGTCTCTATTTTCTCTTCACTTATAAACAAATCATAATGGTGTGGAGAGGATGGCTATAAGGGGAGAAGGGAGGCCATCCAAAAAAATAAAATAAAATAAAATAAAGGAAATTGAACCTTTTTGACAACATTTTTCAACTTTTGTTGTGAGGCTGAATTGCTTCAATATGTGCTGACGTCACTGAATCAGTAGGTGTTTGGACAGGTGGAGGAAATGGATCAATCAGTTGTTGTGAAAATTTAGGAGCAATCCTATGAAACAATTTGATAAATGCTTTGACTGCATGATTTTTCTGGAAAGAAAAATTCATGCATTAATAACAAAAAACATTAATTTTCTGTAACGTAACTTGTTTTCATCCTCTTTCACAAACATTTTAGTCTGAATGGATATCTAGACCAAAGTGTCCATAAGATTTTGCCCAGCAAAAATAAAAAAACTTTTTTGTGATTTTATCCTTCAGATTTGCTCCTTCACATCTGCTCTGTGTTTTCATTAGTATTCTCAGTCAGACAGTTTGTAGTCTGGTTCCTTCTGTGCTCCTTATATTTTCATTCACTTTGTGTCTTTGTTGCCCTATCAGCTTATTGTTGTTTATGTTCGTTTTGTCTACTGCCAGTCCAGCTGTTGTTTTTTATTATTTTCACATCTGGATCTTTTCATCAAGTCCTTGTGTGAGCCAGCATCCAATCTAACATAGTGTTTTTTTTAGATGTGAACATTATGAGCCAGTCATTTTCTTGTTGTAAAATTGATATAAGTATTATCTCCAGTTTCTTTTTAGTCATTTTATTAGTATTGTTATTTATGGTCATAGTTTTCACAAACAGCTGGACAAAGAGCACATGGCTGCAGATATCTCCTGTTAAACTGTAACCAGATAAAAGTAATCACATGATTATTTAATTTATCATTTTCGTAATGACACTCTTCATATTTCCACATATGTTGGTCATATTTCTGCAACTTTTCAAGTTTGCTTTTTCTCTCTGATTTATTGAGTCTGTGACTGTGTCTTGAATTTCCACATTTTTTTAAAATAAGAAGTCTGCCAAGGGGTTTTAAATTAAAAACAGTTCCACTAAATGCTTTTTACAGTTTTGGATATTGTTGGTAATACTGCATGCCCTAAAATTAAAAACAGCTTTGCAAAAATACTTAAAAGCCTTTGAAATGAAATTTGTTTTTAAAATATTTTTTTATTTAGTCTAATCAGAAGAAATGCTGTTATTTTATTCACTTTTTTCATTAAGTTTAGGGTTTAAGACATTGAAACACTGAATGGAAATGTTAGAATCTGTCAGGTTCTGTCACTCAATTTCTTTTTCCATAATATTAATTTCTACGTTTTAAAATTTATTTGCTGTTTCATTAGTTTTTAYGTCAGAGACAAGCCACACATACAGGATTAATTATTTCAGTCAGCCCAGCAGTGAACAACTTGTATTATGTTGTAAACAAACCAGTTGATGAATACATTTGTTGTCAATTTATATTGTAAACAA